CGCCGCTCCATCGACGTAAACTTCCCAAACACCCTCCGGCGCTGTGTCGAGGGTCACCCCTTCTGCGATGAAATCAGCCAGGATTTGGGCCTTTATTGCTGGTCTTGGTGCGAATTGGATATCGTATTCCGAAAGCTCGACCGCCCATTTCACCATGCGCCCTGATACTTCCATCGAGGTCAGGATCTTTTTTAGTGGAAGGTTTGTCAGGACGGTGATTTGGTGCGCTTGAAAATACGGGCGCAGTTTCTGTGACGCGCTTACTAGAGCCAAGGCAGCTTTCTCGATCGAGGAGTATCTTGTCTCCGCGCTTACGAGGGTGCGCGAGGTGTAATATATCGGTTGCTCGGTTTTACCATCCCTTCTGGATATCAGTACCGCGCTCACAGCCCTTGTTGACACAGCAAGATACAAGAAGAGTTTTTCATTAAGCTTGGGGGCAGTCAGTACAGGGGGGATACAAGATATGCCTTGAGTTCTTGGAATGCCGCTTCGCATTCCGGGGACCATGTGAAACGCGCCCCATTCTTGAGCGTCTTGAAGAAGGGAGCACACTTGTCGGCAGACCTTGGAATGAACCTTCCCAGTGCCGCTATTTTGCCGTTCAGAGATTGGATTTCCAATGCGTTCCTCGGCGCTCGAAGTTGTTGGACTGCGGAGATTTGTTTTGGGTCAACTTCTATGCCGCGCTTCGTTATCATGAATCCAAGGAATTTCCCTGCTTCGGCTCCAAAAACGCCCTTGAGTGGGTTGAGGCGGAGGTTGTGCTGACGGAGGGCTTCGAATGTCTCGCGCAGGTCTTCCAGGTGTGAGTTGCCCGCCTTTGTTTTGACGATAAGGTCATCCACATATGCCTCAATGTTTCGCCCGATCTGTCGGGAGAACACCGCATCAATCATTCTCTGGTACATCGCGCCTGCGTTCTTCAACCCGAATGGCATCCCGACGAAGCAGAAGTTTCCGAACGGTGTCATGAACGTCGTCTTCTCTTCGTCTTCGATGGACATTGGGATTTGGTGGTATCCTGAGAACATGTCGAGGAAGGATAACGTCTCGTGGTCGGTGGTTGCGTCGATCAGTTGGTCGATGCGCGGTAGGGGGTAAGGGTCTCCCGGGCATACTTTATTGATCGTGGTGTAGTCGACGCACATCCGCCAGGCCCCCGATGATTTTTTAACCAAGACCACGTTTGCCAGCCACTTTGGATATTTCACGGGGCGGATCAATCCTGCTGCTAGTAGGCACGCTACCTCCTCCTCTATGGCCTTCAGTTTGTCGCCGGTGAATATCCTTCGCCCTTGTTGCCTTGGTTCCGCGTTGATTGGGACCGCGAGGCAATGCTGGGCTATTTCTCTGGGCACTCCTGGCATGTCTTCTGTGCACCAAGCGAACAGCTCCTTGTATTCCTTCAGCAAGGCTACGAGCGGTTCGATCGCGTCACTGCTGACGTGAGTGGAGATGCGTATCTTCCTAGTCGGCTCGGCGGGATCCAACGCGACTTCGAAGTCGGAATCCATGGACTCCGGGCGGGGCTCTTCTGCTCTTGTGTCGACGATGTTGGTCTGGCGCACCTCATCGCGCTCTGCCCATGTCGTCCCTCGCGCCTCTCCGACCCCTGTTTGGGTGGGGAATTTGAGCTTTTGGTGGCACGTTGATGGGAGGGCCATGAATTTCGCCAGGAACGGTCGGCCAAGGATGCCGTTGTGTGCCGACTTACAGTTGACGATCGTGAATTCCACTTGCTTGGAGATGCGCGGCTCTCGGTCTCCGATTACTACTGGGAGGGTGACTACTCCAATTACTGGGACCCTCATTCCAGAGAACCCGACCAGATTTCCTGGCGCGCGCTTGATTAAGCGCGGGTCGATGTCCATTTTGTCAATGGTGCTTTGAAAGAGGATGTCAGCTGCGCTACCTCCGTCTATCAGCAGACGGTGGATTTTGCATCCGGCAACCAGCGCGGTGATGATGAGTGGGTCTTCTGATGGGACTCCTCGTGGGAACTCCGCATCGTCGAAGCTCAGGTTGAACTTCGTCCGCGCGTCTACAGTCGCGCATTCCGTTGCGCGCTCTCGTTTGGTTTTCTTCTTGGGGCGGTCTCCTTCTACCGTTACCACCCCTATTTCTTTGCGTACTACGTACGCGCCGCCGGCGTCATCGTTGTAGTTGGTCTGTGGTGGAGGTGGCGGGTTCTGGGGGCCTTCGACTTGTTCTTCCTTGACATGAGTGAATTCGGTTAACAATCCTCGATTTATGAGGCCCTCGATTTCGTACCGTAGCTCGTGGCAGTCTTCTGTCCAGTGACCTGTTGCTCTGTGGAAGTCACAGTGCTTGTTTGGATCGCGCATGTGAGGTCGGGACTTCAACGGAGCAGGCCAATTGAGTTTGTAGCCCTTCTCGCGGAGAACGTGGAATACGTTTCTCACGGAGTCGTTAAGTGGCGTGTAGGTGTTGGACGCTCGTCTATCTGGCGATCGCCGGCGCTGAGCTTGCTCTTGCGGGGGAGGAGGGTGTATTTTTGGGCCACTGTGCAGCTGTACTAATTGATCTCGTGGGATCGGGGCTGGAGGTTGCCGACGCCCCTGTTCTTCGCGTTGCAACTTTGCCGGTTCGAAGCGCCTGACCGATCCCGCCCCGAGAGTCTCTTCCAACGTGATTGCCTTCTCGATTTTCATTTCCAATTCTGTGGATAGGGTCACAGGCCTTTTCGCTAGCGCCCGCTTGAGCTCCCTGTTGCAAGTGGCCTCCATGAGGTGATGGGCAGCGGTTTCGGGGGTAAGGTCGCGGACGGCCATTGCCACCCTGGACCATCGAGCGTAGAAAGCTCTCAGGCTCTCACCCTCCTTCTGTCTGATATCTATCAACGCCTTGAGGTGCAGAGGACGCCTCTTCTGGGACGCGAACTTTGTTGTGAACAGGAGTATGAACTCTTCGAATGAGCGGATGATTCCGTTCGGGAGTCTGTTGTACCAGTCGAGGCATATTCCAGAAAATGTTGACGGGAAGGTTCTGCACAGCGCCGCGTTGGAGTTGGTTTGGAGTTGCATACGCAAGCAGAAGGTGCTCACGTGGTCTTCTGGGTCGGTCGTGCCGTTGTATGTTGGGAGGGTGGGTGGCGCTCCGCTTAGGTGCTCCGCCATAATTTGCGCGCTCAGCGGCTGGTGGAGGACCCTCTTAGGCGGGTTGGGTCGGTATTGCGGAGACAAGTGTTGCTCTAAGAAGCTGAGGTCCGCCCGCCCTGGTGGTTCAATTCCCTGTGTTTCGCACGCGGGGTATTCCGTTGGCGCGTGTTGTGGTAGTTGGGCGGTTCCCGACGCTTCTCCCAAGGCTTGTTGAGGCGCGACCGCCGTTGCGTCTACTGTTGGCGCGGCCTCCTTGCTCATCATGAGCGCGATGACTTGGCTCATTTGTTTCTGCATGTCAGCTATGACGTTGTTTTGCTTTGTCACCAGCTCCCTCATTTCTTTGGCTGTCAGTTCGGGCTCTTCTTCTTCGATGAGCACCGCGTTGAGGTTGCTGGCTTCTGCGAACGCCCACGGGTCGGTCATTGCCTTGATTGGCGTCGCTTCGTCAGGTTGGTCGTGGTTGCGTTCTGCCATTGGTGGATTTTCTTCTGCGTTTCTTCTTGGCCCCACGGTGGGCGCCAATTGTTTGAACCTAACTGAGTGTAGGAGTGAGATTCGGGTGAGAGTTTGGGTCAAGAAGAAACGCAAGTGTGGGGTTTGATCGGAGGGTCGAGAATTAGGAGTTGAGTAAGAAACAGAATAGGAGTTTAGAGAGAGAAGTTGTTACTATAGAGAGAGAGTGGCCAGAAAATGCGATCCCCTTCACCCACCAGAGTAAATGCTGTATTTATAGGCTACATGGTGGTGGGTGAGTTGGTGGACAACGGGATGGTACAATGACATGACCCCTGATGTGTCAGGGATTTAGGCCATCCCTATACCTAGGACTTGTCAGGGGATTGTCTATGATTATATCTAAAGTCTTGATGTGACCTTCCCTCGGGGGACGCAACGACGCCCTCGGCGGCCCTTTGTCTGGTCCTTGCTTGGTCTTCACACTCGCGCGCGTAGCTTTATCCTTGCCGCGCCCAAGGTCCTCGTGCCGCCGATTGTGTCGCGCCCTTGTTGTGTTCGTTGTGGCGCACAGTCCAATATGTCCCCTTGGCGCCGGGATGGTCCGAGTCATATGCCCAACACAAACCTAACCAAATTGACAGGCCTAAATGAGACACATGTATCTTAACATCATAATCCAAAACCAAAACCTGCACCCAATCCTAAAGAAGCGGGTTCCACAAAAAAAAATCACAACTTTAAACCTTATGTTGAGCAATAAATATGGGTGATTGGATTGAATTGGACAGGTGGTTCAGGTTACAATTATTTTTGTTTACTCCTAGTTAAATGTGAATAAATGGAAGGTTAGATATATGTTTTTTAGTATAAGGATTTTGTAAACTATCATTTTTAATATTTCCCACTATTTGTCACTTTTATTATCTCTTTACGTATTGGACGATAATATATTTTCTATGAAAAAGAATACAATTTTCATCAAGAAAGAGGATAATACATAAAAAATAATTTAGAAATTTTTTCAATTCCAAATCAACATATCAACATCTTTGTTATAACTGGATGAAAAATATAAACTTGTGACAGGGATGCGCATTTGTTTAACATAAAATGATAAATAAATAAATAAAATTTTGTCCTGTAAAAAAAATTGAAGAACAGCAAAGTAAAAGGGGCTGAAACATCAATGACCCGAGAAAAGAAAACGGGAAGGGGCGGGCAACGGCCAGCGGTACCACTATTATTTTCACTAAACTCCAAAACACAAAAATACGTTCAGCTCAAAGGAAAGTATACGTATTCTAATACGATTCTCTGTCCGCCATACGTATTTTTGTTGCTAATCATGAGAGAGAGAGAGAGAGAGAGAGAGAGAGAGAGAGAGAGAGAGAGAGTATATCAGCGGCCTTTTTAGTTTTAGTTTTTAGTGGCTCTCACCCCTTCTCTGAGTTGATCCAATTGGAAGGACCAGATATGGAGGAAAAGAAATCATGGAGGAAGAAAGAAATGAAAGAGCTGTGCTCTCGGTAATGGCCATTATAAGGCTCTTCGCTTCTCGCAGAGACTCTTTCTTTCAGCTAGCACTCTTTGCTCCCTGCTAGTTTCAAGTTTTTTTTGGCGGAAACCCAGGTGGGTTTTCTGAGTTCACTCCTTCACTTGATTTTGCTTTCTTCTCTGTTTCTGTCTAGCGATGGGTTGCTTCTCTGATATCTGTAAAGTTTGTGTTCTTAGATTGGACTCCAGCTTGGCTTTTGTTTCGGGTTTTTGTCGGTTCGTTTCAGTGTTCTTTGAGCTGCCTGTTCGATTCTCTGTGTTGAATCTGTTGGCTGAAAAACATTGATCGGCCGCTAATCTGATGGACCCTTCTTGCAGATAAAGTCATATGTCGTTCTTGTTAGAATTTCCCCCCTCCATTATAGAGCTTTCATACCTGCTTGGTTTGTGTTTGAGTTTGCTCTAGTCTTCCAATCCTGTTGGTGGTTGATCTTTGATTCTGCTTCATCATCTCTTTTCATTTGCTCTTGGTCTTCTGTGCTTATACAACTGGTGTTTGACTTTGAAATATTTGATCAATGTTTACCATTACCCTCCTAGTTCTGGTATATAGTGCCTTGATTCTCAGATGCAGGATTGAAAGATATTAGAGTGATTGGGGAATGGAGATTTTCTTTTTCTTGTGGAGAGTGTGTATTCAGGAGGAGAGATTAGAGAATCTTTGGTTTTGGCTTACTGTCTTGTGGAATTACTTGGGCTATCCTGATCAGTCAAGTGATTGTTTATTTGCTCAATGAAATCATCTGTGAACTCTCTTCTGTGAGAGGATACGCATCTACTTCCATGGAAGGCTAAGACAGCTTTGTAATGATATTTTGCTCTTCCTTTCATCCTTCAACGTTTAATTGCTAAATTATTCAGGCTACATTTTAGGGGCTTGATATCGCTTTTGATGATTGGAACTTCATATTTATGCATGATTTGCATTTAACTACTGCAGTGGGGAATTGGCTGGTGTTGTGTTTGGATGGCATAGAGGAGCTCTTACCAATACTCATTATGAGAAGCAAATCGCCATAAAAACGGGTATGCATATACAGTACTAATGGCTGCTTCTGATTCAGGGTCACATTTCCAATCTCATGTTCCGGGCCTCAAACCAAGCAGCTCATTCTTCAACCTCCCCAGTTTCTTTATAGGGTTTAGTTCGAAAAGTTCATCAGAGTCTGACTCTGCTAGAAGCCCTACATCTCCTCTTGATTTCAGTTTCTTCTCCAATCTTAGCAACCCGTTTAGCCTTAAGTCCCCAAAGACATCAAAGGTTGAACACAAAACACAATGGAATGGCCGCAAAGTAGGCCTTGGCCTCGTCAAGTTGCTCTTAGACGAGACCCAACAAAGTGAGGAAGTTCTTAAATCCCCCAAGAGGAAGAATGTAATCTTTGGATCACAGATCAAACTTGGTCATGATTCCTTGAGATCCAATTCTTTGCCTAAAAACTATGTCATCTCACTACCATCTCAAACTGGAGAAGAGGAAGTGGTCCCATTAGAGTCTATGGAATTTGAAGAGTCTTCTTCTCTGAGTAGCTTGACAAGAATACCAAGTTTTGGTCTGAAAAAAGCATGTCTGTCAGCAAATAGGTCCAGTTCTATACCAAGTTTGCCCGTGGTTGTGAGTAAAAGTTTGAAGAAGCACCATTCCTTGAACATCAAGCCGACTTCTGTACCAATACCGATCAGTTCGCATGAGATCGAGCTTTCTGAAGACTATACTTGTATAATTTCCCATGGTCCATGCCCTAAAACAACTCATATTTTTGGTGACTGCATTTTACCATGTCATGCTAGTAGTGAGTTGACCAATTTTGACCAGAGTAAGGCTACTATTGGGTTTGAAATGCTTCCTCAAGAGGCTAAGTGCCCTGAGGAAGGTTTACCCTCTGAAGAGTTTTTGAGTTGCTGTTACTCTTGCAAGAAAAAGCTGGACAATGGAGATCACACCTATATGTACAGGTAAATGTGTGTAGCTAACTAACTTGCTGCTTGATAGAATTTCTATCTCAAAGACTAAAACTTTTGGCTGTGAAATTCTGGTGTATTGTAGAGGCGAGAAAGCATTTTGCAGTTGTGATTGCCGCTCGGAGGAAATTCTTGGTGAGGATGATAGCGACAGACTTGATGATAACTCCTCACAGAACTACTCTCCTAAGTCGAGCTTCCATGGAGACATTTTCTAGAGAGGATACATAAAAAATCATCTATTATGTGTATTTAAGAACAGAATTCTGTTTTCCAGCAATGGGGGATCAGTATGCATCTCAATCTTATCCTCGCGAGTTTTGTAGCAGACAATGTGAGTTTTGCAGCAACATGCTGATGTGTTGAGAACTTTCAGCAGATAGATGGGTTAGAGAAGTGGCTATGAAGCCCTCTCTCATCACTCTGCATTATTTTTGGCACTATAATTTGATGAGCTCTATAGTTGCCTTTCTGAAATGCATCCTCAATGGATTTAAGTGGGATTTTTGTACGGAGAACACCTGTTTTTGCAGTAGCTTTGAGAACAATGAATAATGAGATATGAATGTAGCATTGATTTTCAGTTGTGTTGGCCATGGAAATGAGAGATGGGGAAAGGCATCTTGATCCAACAAGTCTTAATCCTGGAGTAGCTGACTACTAAATCTGGTTTCCTGTTTATTCTCTCCTCCACTTGTTTTATTAGTTTATTCAGGGCCACCCAATTCTTTGTGAAATGAGCTAAAACAAATAAACAAATCTCTCAACAACTCCCCAATGAATGATGGGTTAACATTAATTTCCCTCTCTATACTAAGTTTTCTGTTTATACTATCAATGCTATGTATTTTTTTTTAAAATACAATAACAAGGGCCGGTGGAAATGTTACGATAATATATCTTAAAACATTGTGACTAATAACATTATGTGACTAATATCACTATTAAGAACGTGTTTGTAAATAGATATTATTCATCTGGAATGGATGTTACTCATTTTGCATGATATTATGTGTGATGTATTTACAACAACATTGTTCGATTCAATGCATTGTTGTCATAAATTGTGTATAAAACAAGAGTGGATCCCAATTATACACTTAACCAAATGGCCTGTCTCTCTAAAAGCATTTGTGTTCATTGGGCATCCATATTTTTCAGGTTAGGTTGTGATTAAGGGAGGGGGACACAGAAAGATGCTGCTTGCTACTGGGGACAACCATTAAATTCTTGTATTGAGGAGACCAGAAGTTTGCTAGTGGGAAAATTCGTTCAAAAACAAAAGAAATCGTCAAGGAAGAAAGAAAGTGTGATCATGAGATGAGACTTGAGGAGTGGTCTCCACTTTCATATAATGAATAGTGTACCGTATGATTCATTATTGGTTGTCGAATTCCATTGTCTAACTAGAGTAGCTACCGTCCATCCGTTGCCATAAACAAATATCCCAAATTCTCAAACCCATTATTGCGAATCAATGGCCAAAAGAAAGAGAGAAAAAAGGGGGTTTTGTGTGGCCTCTCTAATTCGATGTATAGTAACTTAACACATGAAAATCATGAACCACGCATATACCTTATAATCTTACTGTTGGAGCCAAGATGTCCTCTCGAGTGGCATGTCAATTCCTTTGCGCTTTTATTGAACTTCACTATCAAGCGTTTGTATACATAAGAACTTTGGAGGGTTCCGTCAGCTCGTAAGTCGTCCAACGATCAAGTTAAACGAAAGCTTTCTATAGAGATAAGTGATGTGAGAGAATTTAGTGAGTGTCGCACCCTATCACATTCCTTTTTCACAAGCTCACCCAATATTCCTTTTTGCCAATAAGCCATTGCACCTCTATTCGAGCTGGTGGCAGTCCATCGTATGATGTACCCTCTCTCTACGGAATTCACAATAATGGTTTAGGTTATTTTCATTAGGCTAACCTTGAACCGGTATAGGTCGTCTCACGTGATAGCCCAGTGCCTTGATGGTGCTGTGTTATTAAGCTCCATGAACATAGGATCTGGAAGTTCTGGGGTACGCACCTTCTGGGACTTGTGTCATAATGACAAAACGTGTGTGAAGACGAACTCTTAATAACGAGTCCAAATTGGCTTGTGTTGTCCATGTAGCACTCACACTGAATGACCTCTCCTATTACCAGTGGAAACATTTTCACCATTTAGCATTGGATCAGACTTGATTGCATTACCTTTCATGTGTGCCTTTCACGACACTGTGTCTCTGCCTCCAATGTTTCCTCTAGCGCTATTACCTTTTGCACTTTATGCTCCAGTTCTTCAATCGACTCTACGTCTTTTTTTAGAGCACCCTACAAAAGTTCCTCACTTGTCGCACATTCATCCAAACAACATCTGAACAAGTTTAAATGTCCCTAAACACCATTGCTGCCATCATCCATCTTTCATAGAATTCCATCAGTGCCTCCCCCTTGGACTCCTTCAGCTTAAACAAGGGGCCTATTGCCAACATCCTTCACTTTCACCTCACAAACTTTGAAAGAAACATCGTCACAAATTATTCAAAGCAGTTAATGCGCCCCTCATACAGCTGGCGGTACCATTCAAGTAATATCCCTGATAATGTCGAAGGGAATGCATTGCTCAAGGTAGAGTCAAAAGATATTGAAATGTTTCATCTTTGTGAAATAGTTGTGAAGATGATCCTCAAGATAGTTCAGGCTACTAGATGATGCCTTTTGCTAAATCGTTTGTCGGGCATGCAATCATGTGAGGTTTTAGGTGGCTTCTAAGGAAGCTCAGCGAGGGCCTTATGTAATTTCTTTCAGGCAAGGTCGAACCTTTCATACTTTGGTTTGTTCCCTCCCCCTCTTCCTGAAAACAAACTCGACACATGACTCCCATATCTCTTGAGCGCCTCGACCTCATGTCTCAAATCTTCTGCCATGCACTTTTGGTGGTTGATCAAGTCATAAAGTTCTCTTTTAGTCATTTGGGAGTCCTTCCATCATCTTCTTTTGTTTCTTAGGTGGACACTCTGCTTTTGGATATTGGCATTTTCATGCTTTTCTTGGCTCTCTAATCGTCCTCCGCCTCTTTGTTCCTTGTTGATTTCTACGGAGTGAAACCTTCTGCCACGTTGGATCCAAGATACCCCCAAGTTGCATAAGAGACCTTCGCGCATTTTGAACTCCGGTGTCAAGCGCATGTGCTAATAAGAACATCGCAAAGCTCCCTTAGCATGTAAGTCCTCTGACAAGCATTTTAGAAGAAAAGCTTTATAGAGGGATAAGTGATTAGAGAATTTAGTGAGAGAACAACCAATTGCCTTAAAAGTGGTCTCCTTCTCACTATTTATAGGTGATCGAGTTCCCACTGCAGGCCTACATGAATCATTCGGTTACAATTTGTGCATTTGATGCTTCATCCTTTCTTTGGCCCGTTAGCCCAACACAACCATATTGTAGCAGATGTCATAGCAAAAGTGACGACACCCGCTAGTTTGACGCCATCAACCGTTGACATGGTCAGAGATGCTCAATGACAAAACATCTATCGTTTGGGCCTTCATGTCGTGGTCGACCATACTGGGCCTAGCAATTTGGGCTCGAGGTCAGTATTGGGGCCGCATTGGGCCTCGGGTTTTGGGTCCCACATGGTATGGGTCCACAACTTACTATTACTTGACTTTTGTGGTGGAGTAACTTTAACACCATGATTATTACTAAATAAATGCAATAAATTTGGAAAACAAAGTCCACCACTTTCTTTATCTCTAACTATCAAGTTCAAATACTTAACCATAATTTTCTGTTCTCTTACTCAGATTTTTTACTGTAGGACCTTTAGGGACGAGGATGTACATACGATAGTCTGAGACCGGGTGACCAGGATTATGATAGAGGCGTGAACTACGTTCACTTTCCGAAAAGAATATGTTCACCCTTCATAAAAGCCTTGGGTTACAGGAAATTTCTCCTGAGGATAAAACTATCACCACTTTAGGTTCCAGGTCAAGAACACTAAAGCAAACTTAGAAATTTTTGGAAGAAAGAAGAAGAATATGTTTGAATGTGTGTGGCATCATCCACCCCAAACATATATTTATAGGGGCCGAATCCATGCATTATTGCATGAAAGGTTTTCTTTATCCATAAGAAAGGTTGTCTTTATCCTTATGAAAGATTGTCCTTATCCATATGCATGGTTGCTTTTATCCATACGAAAGGTTGACCTTATCCATATGAAAGGTTGTCTCTATTGATAAGGTTATCCTTATCCATAAAATAATGCAACCGCCACTAGGCCAAAGGCATGTGTTTTCATGAAATTATAATATTGGTTCGGTCGGTCTAATCCCAAATCGGTTGGTCGGTCCAACCAAAAACCAATTTAACTTGGTTAGTTCGATTCAACCAAATATCCAACATTCCTCTCCCCATTTTAGTGTATTCATAGAATGCACTAAAATCACTACATTCTTCCAACAAAACCTTAAGAATAAATGAAATTGTCGTGACAATTGAATTTTCATCTTAGTATATTACACTTGAAGAATATCTGAATATGAGTGTCGGTAACGATTGAACCCATCTACTCATATGAATATTCAAAGATAACATACACTTAAGTTTTAGAAACTTCTAAATGACCTTGACACTATTATCTGCATGTATCCAATCCTTCTCATTAGCGCACACGAAACCGAAGTCTGGGTTTCTTGAAGCGGCTACACTTCATGCTTACATAGGTTGAATCTCTTATTCGTGTACCCGCATAATACACTTTTTCAAAAATTCAATTAAGAAGTTTTGAACTTCATCATCTTCTCTCATGCAGGATAACAAGCACATACCTCGGGATGACTAATTGTGTGTTTCAATTTCTAATAATGAGCTTTCCACATTGAATTCATCCTCTAACATTGTATTAGAGGGGAATTGGTATCCCATGATCAAAACTTATATGGACTTTAAAACCATCCCTTTTACAGACCTGACCACCAAGTCACTAGTTAATCATTTCGTCAAATAATCAACTAAATTATTGCAAGTCCAGTCACATTTAGGGGTGTACATGGGTCGGGTGGTCCGGGTTTAGCCATTTTAATCACCCGACCCATGCACTATGGTTTGGGAAATATTAAACCCAAACCCACCCAAAAAAATTAAAACCCTACGGTTTGTTTCTAATTGGGTTGGGTCGGGTTGGCGATATTTTTAAGTAAAACCCAACCCAACACAAAATATGTAATTATTCTACACCATAAAAATATTTTATAACTAATTAAAATTTCAAACGAATAAACCGAGGTGAAAGGTATCAAAAGTCATAAATTTTGTTTAAATTTTATTAAAATGTGATTTACTTCAACATATATCTAGCTTTTTTTCACGACATTTGTTGAAATAGGATAAAAATGTTATAAACGAACGTATCCATAATATATAATTCTCTTAAAATCGTACGCAAGAAAAATGATTACGTGAATCATAGCTATATTTAATCTATGTCTAAACTTTAACCTGAAAAATGCATTAGATTAGTGAGACCATGAGAGAAAAATATGGCAAAATATCATAATTTTCTAATAAGTATAGTTATATACAACATAAATATTTTTTGGATACGAACTCATATCAATAGTTGGAACACGGGTTGGGTTGGGTTGGGTTCTACGGGTTGTGTAATCCAAAACCCAAACCCAACCCAAAAGAGGCGGGTTTTAGAAAAGAAAACCCTCACCCAACCCAAAACCTTAGTTTTAGCGATAAATACGGGTGGGTTAGGTCGGGTGAGTCGGTTTGCAGGTGTGTTTGTTCACCCCTAGTCACATTACACAGTGTCTAACTCCCACATGACCATACTTGTCATTTCACTTGGCTATTTGCCTTAGCCAAAGTAGCATTACTATCACTAAGAATAGTAATAGGTGAGATTGGTTTTGCATAAATCAATGTCATAAACCAAGCATCTTAACAATGACGTCTTTTCTCTAAGAGAAACCAAGGCCACAAACTTTGACTCCATAGTGAAACTTACTTATGCAAGTTTGCTTTTTAGAGATCCAAGATATGGCACCTCCCCCAAGCAAGATGACTTATCTCGATGTTGAAGTATCACCTTTAACATGAGAAATCCAACTAATATCAACTAATTCTTCCAAAATGGATGGAAAGCCACTATAAGTCAATACAATGTGTCTTTGACATATCCGAGTACACGCCTCATTTCGTTTCAAATGATGAGAACTATGATTCATCATGTACCGACTTAATTGTTCTATTGCATATGCGATATCTAACATCATGCAAGTCATGCATACATTGAGCCCCCAATTTAACATGGAATACTCCAGTTGTAAAACTGATTTCCAGCATTAACCATAATTTTCATACTTGGATCCATTGGGGTCTTTAACTCACAACAATTCCTACTATGGAATTTTTGCAAGTACCTTCTCAATGCACAAAAATTGAGAGAAGTAATTTTCTTTGTCGTTCCGCTTGACTCAATATACAGAATCACATTTTCCTCCCCATGTCCTACATGGAGAATTTAAATAACAACTTTTTATCAAAGTTCACTTATCTTTTATTGGTCCCAAAAATAAGCATGTCATATACATATAAATGTATGATGACTCCATTACTAGAACCATCATCAATTGTGTATACATTTTGTCTCCTTGGTTTGAAATAACATAAACCACTATACAAAATCACACCATCAACCCACTAGACGAATCCAAATTTGTCTAGAACTTCGTAAATGTCGAATAGAGAATTACACAAATTAACCCTTAATTATGTGACCTACACAAAGGAAATTGTCAATATTTTATTTCTCCATTTTACTAAGTATTCTCTTTCTTCCTCATCCTTGAATCATCCCTCTTCCAAATTACCTTCCGGATATGGAATACACCATGAGACTAGTACGAAAAAATCCATCCTCTACTACCATCGATGAAAATCTCATCATCGAACATTCTCATATTCCATAGACCGGAACTGGTTCCTTGTAAAGAGCGGTTCGAGCCATCGTACCGGAAAAGATTCTTTTCGATTGTTGGGACTTTAGGGACGAGGGAGTACGTACCATAGCCCGAGACCAGGTGACCAGGATTATGATAGAGTCACAAACTACGTTCACTTTTCGAAAAGAATATTTCCACCCACCATAAAAGCCTTGGGTTACAGAAAATTTCTCTTGAGGATAAAACTATCACCACCTTAGGTTCTAGACTCAAGAACATTAAAGCATACTTGGATATTTTTGGAAGAAAGAAGAAGAATATGTTTGATGGTGTGTGGCATCATCAACCCCACACATATTTATAGGGGCCGAATCCATGCATTGTTTCTTGAAAGGTTGTCTTTATCCATACGAAAGGTTGTCTTTATCCATATGAAAGGTTGTCTATATCCATATGTAAGGTTGTCATTGTCTATATGAAGGGTTGTCTTTATCCATACGAAAGGTTGCCCTTATTCATATGAAAGGTTGTTTCTATCCATAAGGTTATCCTTATCCATAAAATAATATTGCAGCCGCCACTAGACCAAAGGGATGTGTCCCTTCATGAAATTAAAATATTGGTTCGGTCGGTCTAATCCAAAACTGATTGATCGGTCCAACCAAAAAACGATTTAACTTCGTTAATTCGGTTCAACCAAATATCAAACTTTTACTCTGTCTCTCCTTTCTTTCGAAAAAATCTGAAAAAGTATGCAAATAAAAAACTATGGATAAATTAGAAAATCTGAGATTTCAAGTATGAGCTCATGGAGAAGAGTACATAGATTAAGTCAAAGAATTGAGTTAAAGGATTAAGAGGGCTAAAATCATCATTACAAATTGGCCCTACAAAATTTACTAATCAAGATTGATTTTCACTAATAAAAAAAATGTTCAAAAGTCATTACTAATGCCCTGTCCGAAACATTAGTAATCGGCCTCCAAACATGACTGCTAATTCCTTGGAGCATTAGTAGTAAGAAGTAATAACTCTCATAACCACTACAAAGAAATACTTCTTCTAAAAGCAAATGATTGTCACAGGCCCTTTAATCATTAACTAGAAACAACCCGAGGGGTATGCACCCCAATCGAATCAAAATACAATCAAGAGTTTAGGGTTGGATATGCCCAAGGAGGCAATGTAATTTGCAACCATGTTTCCTTCGCTCACTCCAAAGCTAAGAGTCATTGAGTTGTCGTGACCAAACTAAATTGTCCATAGAATCAACTTAATCACCTGATCTATTGGGTAGAGAAGCATAAAATATGTTCAGGAACATTAAAAGTGCACCTGAAGGATCATCCTCTCAGTCACCAAGCCCAAAAGGTCAAAGCCCAAAAGGTAGCCTATTAGCCCAAAAGCACGACGGACACGCAAGCCTCTTTGCATGAATGACGTGTAGCTTTAGAAAGTCCAAGCAACCCGGGCCGGTCTGCTACGGCCTGGTGACAGCCCAAGCCTGCTTAGAAATCAGACAGCAAATATACCATTACCAGTATCACATCTCCAAGTTAATTTGTGGATGAAATATGATATAATAACATTTCAAAATTCACGGAACAATTTGGTTAGAAATTCTTCAATTTAATCCGCTATTTTTCTTCAAATTTTCAGAATGCATGCAATTATACGGTTTGACAGATAGACTTTTATCTAAATTTGTAATACTCTTATTCTTAACTTCCTTACGAGTTCCGCAGTTCCAATATTAGAATGATGACTTTAAGATAGCTGGTCTGATTATCATGGATTCACAAACTTTTTTTTCCTCATCTCGTTCAATATAAAGTATAAGAAATAATTACACCGACTATCATATACCGTTAGTTAAATAGACCTATGAGTACGTGTGTACGAAGAGTAAAACCACATCATTGATTATTTCACAAATAAGGGACCCATATTTCAATAAAAAAAAGTATTATTAATTATACTGTGATTCTAAGCTATAATTGAATGGAAGTAATGTAAAAAGGTTTCTACAATTCTAAATAACTAATAATACAAACTATGGTAGCTCTTTGCATACGCCTTATAAAGCAACTGATTTATTTTTTATTTCTCATAAGTGCATTTAAATTTCTTTAGGATTAATAAGTGCACGTAATGAGTATAAAAAAGATAATCAAAACTACCGGCGCTCGTGCCATGATACTAAAATAAAATAAATACATCAATAAAAAGTTTCCCCTCAAGAATCGTCATACTATCACAATTTTATTTTCAAATAATACTTGTAACTTTATGGAAAATAAAAAGTTTCTTTATGGAATATAGACCTCACTCTGTTTGCAGTTATGTGCTGGAGCCTCTGGAGGAATAGGAATAATTGGGTGTTTGATAAGAAGCTAGCATCTATTCAGCAGCTCTTGAGCCAAGTCCGCACTCTGCGGCGACAAATCGAACAGGCAGGGGCCATGGCGAAGAAGGTTCTGGATATAGCTCCTACTCGACATCTGGAGCAGATTAGCTGGAAGAGACCACCGAATGGTTGGTTCTGCCTTAACACAGATGGCTCGGTGGTTGGAGGACAGGTGAGTACAGCTGCGGGGGGAGTGATTAGGAATGATGAAGGGCGCTTTGTGAAGGCTTTCTCGGCGAACTTGGCTGGGGGGTCCATTACTCATGCGGAAATAGTTGGGATTGCTATTGGTCTACAGCTTGCTTGGGAGGAGGGTTGCCGGAAAGTGTTAGTACAGACAGATTCAGCTATGGCGGTTCAACGGATCCAGGATGCAACGCCGGGCCACCCTCATTATGTGCAGGTGTCCGCGATCCGGGAACTTCTGGCTAGGGAGTGGGAAGTGCAGGTTGGTCACATTTTTCGCGAGGGCAACGTGGTTGCGGATTACCTTGCCTCCGCTGGCCACGCGCTATCAACAGGGATACATGTTTTTGAGAACCCGAGCTCAATGTTGAGCCACTGGTTGTATTTTGACACTTTGGGGATTCAAACTCCCCGTTCAGTTATTAATTAAGGGTTAGGGCGCCCCCTGCGTCCTGTTTCTTACCAAAAAAAAAGAAAATAAACATCTATTATTCTTTCTTTTTAGGTCGAAAAAAATATATTAAACAGTATACACAATACACGCTAAAAATCTAATTGAAACGAAAATGATTAAATTTAAATTACAATACTACACGTCACCGAAAAGGAAACAAATGGAAACTTCCGTCGAAGGGTATTAGGGTCATTTACTTGCTCCGGAAGCTCATTGGATGAGAGAGAAACGTAACGGAATCTTGGAACTTGGGAGGCTATTTAAGTCATTTACATAACGAACTCTGAAAGCACGAGCTTCATTGGAGGATAGAATAGAATAACCACTAGCAGAGAAGAGAAAGAGAGGGAAGCAAGCCAGAGTTCTTCATTTCCGCCATTGCTTTTCTTTTCTCCTTCGCCCGCTTTATCTGAATCGATCGCCGACGAGAGCCTTCTTCCTTCCGACTGCCGCAATGGGGTTCGCGGCGAGCGGCGCTTGCCTCCTGCAACCTCAATTTAGCACTTCCGTTTCGTTTCTGTCACCGCCCCCTCCCTTCGCTCCACTGTCTTCTTGCTTCTCTGCAAGTAACTGCTGCAATGGAGGAGGATCCAAGAGAAAGAGAAGAGCCGCGGTGGTTAGCTGTTTGCCTTCGGAGGACCCCAAAGACGTCTTCGACAGAAAGAAGAGAGCAGTTCTGCTAGCAAGCTTCTCGTTTCTTCCGTTCTTGCAGCTCAGGGCCCGAGCTCTCGAGGACCCCGTCGTTCAGAGTGAGTCGATTTCTCGGTTCCTTTCTCTCTTCTAGTAGTCGTTTCCTGCTTTTGTTTGGTATCTTGCGATGGTTTTTGCTTCTTGATTGAATTGGTGGAATGCAATTGGTTTCTGATTCTCAAGTTGGATCGTCGATACTTCTTGCTCGGGCAGTGGCAGCAATTTGTTCGTGGATTTAGTGATTCGTTTCTTGCAGTACGCTTCGTGAATTGAGATACATTGTTAGATTTCTATCTGTTTGTTAATTGATCATGCCGCATTCATCTGTTACTATTAGCCTGAATCCAGTTCTAGTTAGTAGTGACTTCTTTCCTTTAGGTTTCTTAGATAACATGGTCTTGATTATGGATTTGCTTCTAGTTCAGGATATCAGTTTCATCCCAAGCATTCGCCCCTGTTGAAGATTTTCTCCATGGATTGCTTAGAAGTTTATTGAATCAAACAAATCTTGTGCTGGCTGTATAATTTTCACGCAAGATTCAGTCCTTAAGATCTTGCTTGAAGCATTAACCAGAACTTGTTTACAGATGCTGAGTTTTTAGTAGCTGCTGTTGACCTCTTGAATTTCTGAGTTCTTACTTTCTAAAGAGTTAATGTGTAACAGTCTCTTCTTCTACCTTCAGCATCTTAATGATTTTCTATCTCATTGCAGAGGAGAACGAGCTTGAGACAACTGAACAGAACCAGAAGGAAGAGGTTTGGATATCTTCCCTGATAAATGATTCACAATTTCCAGACTCACCCCGTTTCATTTCTGATTATATTGAAGGTAACTAAGTGTATGCTCTATCAGCAGGTGTCTGTACAAGCATATCCTGAACCAAGGCCCTTTGTTTCTTTTCTGAATGGAATTGGCATTGTTGGTATTGGTGTACTTGGTGCACTCTATGCTTTGACCCGGAAAGAAAAGAAAGCTGCTGATTCAACAATTCAGTCGGTATGTAGCACAATTTTTTTTTTATCAATTTCCTTTGCCCAACCGTTATTTTTGTGATGCTGCTCCTCTGCATTTAATGTATAATTTGGTTTAATAGCTTAGTATGATACAAGTCTAAGGTGATTGCTACATTTGTCTCTTGGACAGATGACAGTTGAACTGAGCAAGAAGGTAGCTGCAATCAAGTCGTTAGAGAAGAACTATGAACTACAGCTACTGAATGAAAGGGAAGAACGGAAGAACCAGCTCAACAAGGCAGCAGAAGAGCAGCAGGTTTTGACAAATCAATTAAACTCGGCCAACAATACAATTAAAGGTTTAGGGAATGAGCTGACAAAGGAGAGAAAGGCCATAGAGGAGTTCAAGCTTCAAATTGAGGGTCTAGAGGACAGTTTATCAAAGGCTGGACATCAGAAGAATGCTCTTGAACAAGAGCTGAAGGAAAAGCTCAGTTCTATTGAAGGTTTACAGGAGAAAGTTAATCTACTCAATTTAGAGCTGAAACAAAAGGAAGAGATGGCTGAAAAGCTGACCTCTTCACTGGACGAGAAGGAATCAGAGTTGAAGAATTTGAAGAATGCCTATAAGCAAGCAGAGAAGGACTTAACTAGAGCACACACGGAAATCAGTGGGCTGAAAGATGAACTCTTGGAGACTAAGCAGCAGCTGGATTTGAAGAATGCTCTTGTGGATGAATTAGGGTTGGAAGTAAGTTCTCTGACTTCAGAGAGGGATGAATCTAACAAGAAGCTGGCTGGTATCCAGGAGGAGTACAATGATCTCAAGTCATCTTCTGACAATAAAGCTGCGTTGGATGCTAAGCTGTTGGGGGAGAGAGAAGAGGAGATTCAGCGTTTAACCCAGAGCCTTGATCTTTCCATCAATGAGGCGAATGGAAAAGAGAAAAGGATTGCAGATTTGGACCAAGAAAGGGAAGAACTGAAGAGGGTGCTGGAAGCTGAATCGAGCAGTACAAAGAAATTGAAGCACGAGCTCCTCACAACCCAGGAAGCTCTTGCTAAGTTGCAAACTGAAGCTTCAGGTCTAGAAACCCTATTAAGGCAGTCTAGAAGTAGCTGCACACAGCTTGAGGCCGAGCTTGCAAGTGTTCACGATGAGTACGATGCAGCTGGAGAGTCATTTCGGAAGGGCATCGAGGCAGCAAAGCAAAGCAGCGAGATATTGGCTCATGAGCTCACATCAGCAAGGGGGCAACTGAAGAAAACAACCGAAGAGCTGACATCCGTGTCAAACGAGCTAGCAGCAGTGAGAGAAGATCGTGATAACTTGCAGAGCGAGTTGGCGGATGTGTATAAGAAAGCAGAAGCAAATGCCAAGGAACTGATCGAAGACAAGCAGTTCATTTCCTCTCTGCGCAAGGAGATACAGAGCGTGGAGCAGCAGGTGCTGAAGGATAAGGAGGCGAGGAAAGCTCTGGAACTGAGCTTGGAAGATGCGGCAAGATCCATTGCTGAGAAGAACGAGAATGCAGAGGCAATTTCCAAAGATCTGGAGGCTGCCAGGTCGGAGATTTCGAGGCTGGTAGACGAGAAAGAGATGTTGAACAAGTCGCTTGCCGAGCAGAAGAGTGCAGTGGCGGAGGTGAAAGAGAACATGGAAGATGCTCACAGCATGGTTTTGAGGCTGGGGAAGGAAAGGGAGGGCATTGAGAAGAAGGCCAAGAAGCTAGAATCGGATTTAGCTTCTGCCAAGGGTGAGATTCTGAGGTTAAGGAGTCAGATGAATTCGGGGAAAACTGTTCTGAATGATGAGAAAGCTGTTGTTAAGAAGGAGGAGGACAAGGCTCCGGTTAAGGTTGAAGCAGCACCAGTAGAGAAGGTCAGTGCTGGAGTGAAGAGAAGCCCTCGAAGGAAAAGAGCTACTGGTTCCCAGTAACCAGTCCAGCATGCAAACACTCTCCACTCCTGGGTTTTTTGCTTGCGAAATTCTTTTACCCCACTTTTTGGCCGATTGAGAAGTTTTTGTGTCCCTATAATGAAACTTTTGTATAAACTTGGGGATCGTAGCGTACGAATGAGAAGTTCAGGCGTGTAAAAGCTGAGAGCTAATTCTTGTGAATAGAGAAGTTTGTTGGATTGTTGCTCTCATCTGGTTAATGCTTTAATTGTGCTTGTGTTGCTTAAACTTAATAGAATTAGGGCCTAATCTCATACGTAAAAAATTTAGGACTTAATTGGGGTTTTCCCAAAAAGTAACCTCTCAAAAAAGGGGAAAAAAGGGACGAACAGAACAGAAGATAGAAGACTTCGTCCAACCAGAAAACAAAAGAAATACAGAGCAGAGCCGGAAGGAGTCCTCCGGCGGCCCTCTTCTCCAGTCGTAACTTCTGCTTGCTAACGTGAAGGAATAAGCATATCTCGTTTTTCGTTAACCTCTTTCCTTCTCCTTCGTCTTCTTCTTCTTCTGCAGCTGCGAGAATTGTGGAAATTTATGGTTTCCCCAACTCCCGTTTGCATCTTACTTTCTCTCCAATCCGATCCACAATTCGCGTGCTGATTCCAGTTCGTCGTCGCTGCGCAACTCGTCCGGCGCCGCCTTCAGTGAGTGACTGAACTCTCTCCCGCCCACTGGTTTCCTTCTTCGTTCTGTTCCTTGTGTTTGGAGTTTCTCCCGATCTGCTTCGTTAATTTTCCCCGCTTCCGGGGGATCAGTCCCAGTCATGTTCTATGGTTCAATTGTATGGGATCCATGGCTTATCGTCGCCCAAATCGTGTGCCTTCAATGCCTCTACTACCTAACCCTCGGATTCTTCCTCTCCGTTTTCGTTGGCACCCGCGTTTCCCGACTGAGTCTCGTCTATTTCTTTGATTTCGTCACCGTCACCGCGTCTTCCGTCACTGGATGGTGCGTTATCGCCTCCTTCTTGCTCAGCTCCCTCGCCGGGTAAGCAGTTTTCACCCCCTTTGTTTCTTCCTGGCTGGTCACTGATAGGATAATGCTTTAGTGACTTGTACCTAGTTGCCTTGGTAGCTGATGGATTGTCTACTTGTGTATCTGTTCTTGATTTCTATGCAGACTGTAGTTGGTATTTCGTAGGAGGCTTGTAATGGTCTGATCATTTTTAACTGTCCCAACGAACTGTGCTTTTCATTTGGGCAGCATCCGGTTAGGTACTTGGTTCAGTGTTCTGACTTCAGAGGGTAGTGTGTTATACGTCATTTTGAGTTGGTTAATCTTCAAAGAGTGTTGTTTTGCTGGATGATATCTCTCCAGCATCAGTTCATTTGAACTTGGTCTTTACTCGAGTTGTCAAGTTCACGACTTTTTA